GGAGGTAATGCATTGCCAGTGAAGAGTGCGGTGAGGTGTGTTGCCGGATGACCTAAGTTAATTTCATTTCTGCATTCAGAATTGTCCAATGTGAGTCATTTTCTAAAAGTTATAAATAATGGTTAGTCTTTGAAGGTGCATTTTAGAGAAATATAGAAAGACTTCCAAAATGTCCTTTCTTACTACCTAATCTTGCCAACAGTCCTTATAGCTTCTGCAGAAGTTTGTTTTTTTGTTTTTGTTTTTGTTTTTTAGAAGACTGACATTGATCTTTCTGTCAGTTTGTCAGCTTCTTTATATGACATAATGGGAATTTGTCCTAGAGTCTCTATTCTAATGAAAAAATGATAGCCATCCTATTCAAAATACTCATTAGCAAAGTATCACGGGAGAATAAGAGCAGGAATGGGACTTACAGCATGCACACCTGGGCTTCAGTCAGGTCTTCGATTCTTCAAACCTGTTTCTTACGGGTGAAATGGGATAAAAATATTTACCCTGGCCCTTCCTGGTGGTGCAGTGAGTTAAAGTGCAGCACTGCAAAGCTGGCCACAGCCACTTCAGTGCGAGTTATCCCCACACTGGAGGTGACCCACATGGTACGGCAGACCTCTTCAGACCCTCCCACATGGCACTGCAGACCTCTCCAGACCCTCCCACTGCTCCCCTCAGCAGTGTACTTTGTCGATCTGCCTGTTCTGCTCCCGACTCTGTCTCTGGTGAATCCTCTCACCACCCCTGCACCTCTGGCCTGTGCTCCAGTTCTGTGTGCACAAATAACATATGTATATATATTTTCCCTGCACAAGACACTAGTGAGAATCAAATGAGAAACACACCTAGCCAGCTCTGAACATGCTCACCAAAGCTGGCTGTGCTTACCCCTTTAATGGGTTCATGAGTTCATGGATCTGTTTTCCTTCTAGTATCCAAACCTTCATTATTAATGGATTACCTTGAAATTCAACAAGTACATAAGTTTAATAAATACACTTTCAATGTTTAAGATTAAATGGTGGTATGCATTGGGTTATTTTTCCAACTTTGTTATTCTAACAGTAGTTAGAAATAGGAAGAAATGAAAAACGTGTTTAACAAATACATAAATGTATTAGCTCTTCTTTATTCTAAGTGCTAAATAATTATCTCAATGCTATTACCAATGCATAATAATTTTATGAGCATTGCATTTCCAAACAACAACAGTAATAGCTATTTATGATCATTTATTACTTAGCCATGCACAGGGCTTTCAAACATGGTCTCACTAAATTCTTCTAACTCTGAGGTAGGTATTATTACCATTTGTCATTTTATAGTTGGGGAAATTTACAAGAAGGTTTAAGTAATTTTATTTATATGGTTGAAATGACAGCAAGCATGTATATCTGGGTCTGTTTATTCCAAACTTCTGAATTTAAACCAACAAATGGTCTATGACTTTCCACTTTCAGTGTGTACGTTTTTTAAAAAAGATTTATTTATTAATGCATATAAGAGTTGGGGTGTAGACCAGAGGTGTGGGGGGGGGGTAAAAGAATTCACCAGAGACAAAGTGGGGAGCTAAACAGGCAGATAGGCGGAAATATACCACTGAGGGGAAGAGCAGACGAGAGGTCTGCTGTGCCATGTGGGTCTCTTCCCCAGCTGGGGATGGAACTCCTGCTGCAGTGGCTGCAGATAGCTTCATAATGCTGTGCCTTAACCCCTTGCACCACCAGGGAGGCCTGGTGCATCAGTTTTAATAGAATTTATGTCCATCTATTTTGATCTCCATCTACTACTTTTAACAACAATCAGCATGCAAAGCCCAATTAACTCAACGTCAGAGGAGTAAGAGCCTGGCCTGCGGACCAATTGGACAGGTGGTTTCTATCCATGCCTTTGCTACTTTCTAGCTGTCCTTCCCCAGGTCAGTGATCTCCCCCTCCTCCCAAATAAGAGGCTACATTTCCACATCTATGTATTTACACTTCCCCCCTACTGGGGAAAGGGTTAATAATATAGACTATCAACAGCCTCCGGCCAAAACCACCAGCAACATACCTATATATTGAACAAGCTGGGTGTATCTGACATCAAGAGAAAAAGAAGGAAGGAAGCTCTAGGAATTCCTAGAGCATTCAGTAAGTGTGTGAGAAAGAATGTACTACAGGGCTTTGGATGGGTGGTCTGGGAGGATCTAACGCGGCAAAAGTTCACTCTGGATTATCAAAGGCAATTCTATTATTGTCTATCTTATGAATCTTACCTAGAATGGGAGAAGAATAGAGTAGACAAAGCTATAACTAGTAAAGAAACAAAAAGTCATTCACATTAGCTGGAGTGAAGGGACCGTGTGGTGCTGGGGGTGGGGGCTGGCATTTTGTGGTTTGCAGAATGACTTTGCTTTTGCATCTGTGCTTAGACAGAAATTCAAAATGGGCTTATTTGGTCTCATTTCATCATGCACACAGAGTGAAATGATCTGATACTGAGGTTCTATGAAGTGGATTGTGCCAACATGGTATTGCTGTAAGCTCCCAACTATCTTCTAAATCAAGCCCAGTGCACAGTCAGGCCAGCTCCTGGATATCAGGGCTGCTTCTCTCTTCCTCAAAGCCAAAATGAGATATTGTAATCAAAAGCTTTCTCAGTTGCAAAATGCTTTTTCAGTTGCAAAGCTTTGCACAAGTGTGAAGCTCAAAGGAAAAATCAAGTGTCACAGTTTCTGGTTGGCTTTAAAGTCAGAAAGTGTCTCCTTTCTGCTGCTTTTGTTGTTGAACAAAGAATTTTTAATGAGAAGCATTGCTGTCCCTTTATTCTATTTCTATATGTAATAAACATGATTTTTTAAAAATATTCAATAACTGAGTCATGAAAAGCTTACAGAAGTGATATGACTTACTTCAAAATTCTCACCTGCAATGAATTCTCAAGCAATAGTTGCGTTTGTTTTCTCTGGGTAAAAGTTTTTCCCTGTGCTTTTCCTGAAGTAGTAATTTCATTAAAAATCCCAGCTGGTGGTGGGACTGCAAACTAGTACAACCATTATGGAAAACTGTTTGGAGGTTCCTCAAACTGCTAAACATGGAGCTTCCCTACGACCCAGCAATCCCACTCCTAGGTATCTACCC